ATGAATACCTTCTTCTCTGCATACGCTCCATAAGCTGGCTGCTTCTAGGAAGGCATTAAGAAGTTCGGCCCTACCAAACGACAATAACAGTTGAGGTACTGTCGCAGCCTGCTATCATTGTCACAGGTGATATTTTCTGTAGGGGTCACGTAACGGATGGCGAGTGAATCGTGTGTACCCAAATTCGCACAACCTCACCATCGTGAACACAAATGATCGCAAATGTAACTCCTGCCTCGTCACCTATGGAACGCAAATTGACTGTATTCGTCAAGTAGCGTGATTCAAGGCTGATGAGAGACGTAGAACTATGCAATATGAGATATTCGCCACGCAACATTGACTGTTGATCTGCACGCTGAAGATCACCCCTCCCAATCAGAACACAATGACGGTGTGGGCTTACGGGTCAAGTGGTGGCGACTGAAAGGAAAAAGGAACCTGCCACTTTCTCGCATTCGCTTACCGACAGTAACGACCGTCGACGAAACATGGAAAGTGCCACAGAAGCGATAGTCCGTGTCGCTCGCTCCGAACTTGGCATTACAAAGCCTGGGACAGCGAAAATTGACAAGCAGGCATGGCTGAGACAATACCAAAGAAAAAGTACGAGAGAAAAGATATTAGAATATATATTGCTCAACGAAGAGACATCCCATAACTGAGAAAACTTCCAGGAAGAAAAAGGCAGCAAAAAGCCGCACAAAAGGCCGCTCATTGCAGTAGCGCTGGCGATAAGCTCGAGATGCGCGATGGCGGATGGTACGTTTACAGACCACTCAGCCCACCATCATCAAACTGAAGAGATATTAAGAAGTTCTTCGGCACTAATGACGAGAACGGGCGGTCTCCTAATGGACCGCAAGAGGCATGTGAAGCGATGGCATGACTACTTCGTGAAAATCTCGCTGCCACAATTCACGCATTCGCCAGTCCCTCCTGCTCCTGCGGTGGACGGCCCTGCCTAGAGAATGAATGTAAACGAAGAGGAGCGTCTTTGAGGAATACGAAGACGGTAAAGCAAGCCGACAACTTGATCGTCGAATTTAAATAAAACAGTGCCGGTATCCTGCGGAGCAGTTGAGAACTTCATCAACAAAGCCAGTGCAGAAAAGAAAGCAAACGCATAAGAATGAGAGCATGACTATTCTGTTTCAAAAGAAGAATAAGGATCTTACAGAACCACCGCCCGATTCGCGCGCAACCCAAAGCATGAAGATACAGTGGGCCTCAAAAGTGTGTTCACTTAGTTCTCCTGCATTGTGTTCCTGAAGAAACATTGCAAAGAAGAATGTTAACTTCTCCCTTCCTCGTACTTTCTGCAGTGTTATTCCCGACGCAATTATTGAAGTGAAAAAAGAATAAAATAGGGCTTTCAATGATGTTACAGTCAGCAACCGCAGTTTTCGTAGAAAAACATTCAACTTGATTAGGGTTGTCCGCTACAACATGAAGTCCTACGGCAAGACGACGAGAATAAGAAAGAAGGAAATGAGCAACGATTAAGCACGGAACTGACACCTAATGTGTCGTGACGCTCTCTTGATCAAGTGGTCGTTTCTCGCCAAATTGCACGAAGGTAGTATTTGAACACGCCATACTTCCCATCATCTACAAGGAGCCCCGAATTATTTTTACCAAGGACCACAATGGTAGGGCGTACCAATGGGTAGGGATTTATTTATTGAATGCGCGCTACAATGAAACGTTGGAGCCGCAGGTTCTATTATAAAACTAGTCTAGAATAAAGTGAACAAAAAAATATGAAAAAAACACTAGCCGAAATCGGAATAGAAATTTCAGTTTTCAGACTTACTCAATTTTCTCTCTAAAGCTATAGGAGAACTCAAGAGTAGAGAGATCATGAAAACAAACACATTCACCTGGGCTCGCCGAGATGAAGAAAAAAATTCAAAATTCCCAACACGGGCAGCCAAAACAGATTTCAATGAAAGAAAGAAGAAAAAAACAAAGAGGTTAGAGGATGGGAGTAGAGGTAAGGATGATTTGCAGTGGTGTTTTTTTACGTAATACAAAACGATTGCGGTGATGTAATTTTTCCGATGAGGAACAAGTTCAATCTGGACGCTTCCGATAGCCTGGCAGGTCGTTGGTGCGATTTGAAGAATAGGCAACGTTTTATCGACATGCGCGGATTCGTTCACGATAGCGTCATGATTTGGGGTCACCTGCTCTGGCTCCTGTAGGATCGGATCATGTCCATCACATTTCTCATAATCAGTACTTCTCAGGTATACAAGCACACCCATTCGGGCGCTAATAATTCCAACGAGATAAGACGTTACCATTCACGTGAATGCCTCGAAAAAGGCGTGCTTTGTAGAAATTTCAGTCTCCTTATCAGACCACACTTAAATCAATCAAGAACCTCTAGGGTTTCCTCGTACCAGCTTTCTAATTTAATTTTAAGATGTAGTACCGGAATTCAGATCATATCGAGTGAGCTCCCCTAAAGTATTGCTGGTGAAGGTCCGGTGGAATTCATTCATTAGATTTGACGATGGAGCATCAGTGTCGCTCGTCTCCTGCTAGCAAGCCACCGGAGGAAAAGAAGCAGGTGTAATTTGCATTCGTAGACTTGGAAAAAGTTTCGATCGTTTTCCGTGGACCATAATGTACGTTTCACGACAACACGGAAATCCCGAATAGCTTATTGAGTGGGTCTGCATGCTCTACTCGAGTCGAAAGAGCCAAGACAACGTTTGTAGGCACATCGATGGAATGCCCATCTCTGTTGGAGTACACCAAGGCTCTGCGTTATCCCCACTCTTTTTTGTTGTCGTCATGGATGCCATTTCAGAGATCTCCAGAAGCCGGCTCCATGGACGCTTCTTTATGCTGATGACGTGATGCTCGCTGCGAAGAAAAACTACTCGAGCAACAGTGCAAGCTTGGTCCGATCGCCTAGCGATGTTCGGACTCAGGTTGAATGTCAAAAAGAAAAGAACTATATACTCGACAACCGACTCGAGAGAATGTGCTTCTATTGAAATCAAAGGCACAAAGCGGTCAAAAGCAACGTCATTACAAGTAATTTGGGTCAGTGATCTCGTGTGATAGCAGCGTGGGTGCCGAACTAAACTCATGCTCGGTCCAAGTGGCACTCCATGAGGAGGGGCCTATGCCGTAACGTTTCGAATCGCAAACTATGAATGCGGCTCTTACTTAAAGACGGATGTACGATAAACTGATACCCCGCTTGGAATGGAAGTAGAGCAGCTATGAGGTGTATCTGTTAAGAAAACTGGAGGAAATGGCCTAAAATCAGTAAACCAGACCCTCGCTATCACCGTTTATATCTGCGTTGGGGCGCGAGTTTCATCAATGTTGGCGTTACCAACGTGAACGCTCTGCTCAGCCTCTACTAATATGGCTCGAGTCCTGCGACAAGAGGCCAATCGGTGAACGACTATAGGCGAAAGGCCACTCACCGTCGCGCATAAGTCCCTGCTCTGTATTCAGAAGCCCCCTTCAAATCAGAGCGCGCCTCGTCCTGGTCCCTTAGGATACCTGGTTCCCCTCGAAACAGATACATTTCCCCTTCCTCAACCTCCTTTTTATCGTACCTACTTTAAGTACTTTCCGCAATGATATACGGGGGGGGGGGGAGATAAGGAGCACCACAGTCACTGAAGAAGATAAACGCAGTCGCACGAGCGAGAAGGCCTGTGCGCGGGCGTAACGCTCCGAGACCGCATACCCAATGACACCATCCGCGCTCGTACGATGGTGAAGGACGTCGTCGATGCCATCTATAATTCCAAGCGGAGGTGGGCCGGTCATGTGGCTAGACTTACCGATGATCGCTGGACGAAGATGGGGAATGTCTGGTGCCCAAAGAGAAAAACTAAGCCCACAGGCAGATTCCTCTCCCCTCCGCTGAGCTGACCTTCTCGTATACAGCCAACTGTGGCGCAGAAAACTCAAAGCGAGTGTCTTGGAAGATGTGCGAACTGCATTCGGGCGTGCTCGGGAGTAGCGGTAGAGAATACAATACAATACAATACCTTGAAGCAACAGTTCCAGCAGAGATCTTGTCTTCAATACTACTTGTGTGGAAATGATGCGCTAGCAATATCAAGAACATAAAGGAGTGTCACTCAATAAAAAATTCTCTTTGGAAAGCCGCTGGAAGGACTTGAGCGCTTCGGTTCCGCTCAATTTTTGGTAACGCCCACTTGTCAGCCGTGGACATCGTGTGATTGGCAGAGCGGTCCCTGTGTAACTGCGTGTAAACTGTTCTGCGTTCCAAGGAATGCCACCTGCTTTTTGTTTGATTTTAGTTGCTTAATCGTTTAATTATTGCATTTTTTTGTTTGTATTGGTGCACATTTCTGGTTTGCATCGATGCATATGCGACTGCAGGCCGGCGGAGCATGTCGTCCGTTATGCACCTCCCTACATTCCGAGGGGAAAGAGGTAAAGTCTCCGTTACAAGGCTCCATCGGCGGTTTTCTGTGTTGTTTTTTTTTATTAGCATCAACACGCACCTATAACTTCACTACCGGCCGTTTTTACCCGCGAATTCGACCTGGAATTGTTGCTCCAAGTTTTGGCCATTTTCCCCAGAATCACTTTTAACCAGTGCAGCATCTAACTCTAGTTTCAGCTCCAATGGGCAGCAACTTTTTTTGTAATATCACCGTTTAAAGCGCTCTTTTCGCATTTGAGACCACAAAAATGCCACAACGTGCCACTGGAACGATGTCACTCCTGATCTTTTCGTTACGAACAAAACTGTGGGAACAGGGTATAACCCAATTCACTTGAAAGACTTTTTTTGCCAACGCTCATTCAAACGCCTTCCTTCTTGGATATTTCATAGAAAGTGAATATTTCAAACTACAAAACATTACCAGTGAAACCAGTTGTCACACATATCGCAGCAAACCATAGTAGCGCCTTCAGTCCAGGCTACGGAACAAGAAGGGCAAATCCAGACCTGAAAATTAGCATTGAGGAAATCTTCCAAATTTCAACTTAATAAATTTAAGAAAGGAGAGAATTAAACACGAACAACGTCTGAGCTATCGTCATCCCCTTCTTCAGAGTTGTCATCGGGAATCGGAGCTACCACTTCAACCTGAATGAAGAAAAAACATCGGAAACATAAATGTACCGCAGGTAAGAACGGAACTGTGCAGAAGCATGTAATAGAATGCAGGAATAAATGCATATATTACAACGAAAATACCTGATTCTTTTTCTCCTCTTTGCTGCGCCGTTTCTCTTTGCTCTTCTTCACTTTCTTTTTTTCTGAAACTACCAAAAAGAGATGATAAAAACAAATGAGCGCGCTTCCAAAAAACTATCGATCCTGAAAACCAAAAGCTGAACGATTAGGCAAAAAAAATATTACACACCTGCTTTTACGAACGCCGTTACAGGTGGAGGTAGATGTGTTTCCTTTTCACGTCGTTGCTTTTCCCGGTCCTTTTCCCTTTGTTCTTTCTCTCGCTGTTCTTTTTCTTTTTGTTCGGCCATTTCTCGTTCTCGTTCTTTTTCCTTCTCTTTTTCCCGTTCTCGTTCTCGTTCCCGTTCTCGTTCTCGTTCTCGTTCTCGTTCACGTTCACGCTCACGTTCACGTTCACGTTCACGCTCGCGTTCGCGCTCCCGCTCGCGCTCACGTTCACGTTCGCGTTCCCGTTCACACTCCTTTTCACGTTCCCGTTGTAGCTCCACATCGCGCTCCATTTCCTGACGCTTTTTCTCCTCCTTTTCTCGTTGTCTCCGCTCCTCCTTTTCCCGCTTCTTGTCGTCGTCTTCCTTCTTTTTCTTCCTTTTTCTATCCTCTTTAGTGGGTTTGCCAGCAAAACTCGAGAACGCAGGAGCCGGTGCTTTGAGCTGAAAAGGCACTTCAGATAGCGAGATCAAAAATGCGACCAGACGATAGTGAGTGCTAAAACATGGAAGACAGCACGGGTAATACCTGGCCGCATCTTGCTAACACGTGGGCCATTGCAGGCTACTCACGACCGGGTCAACCGTCACGTTCGCATTTTTTCGAAATTTTTGTCACCCCCCCCCCTGAAGTTGCTGTTGAGATTGCTGTTAAGTGTAGGTGTGCTGCCATGTTTTGATACATTCACATTTACATTTTATTACATTGCCATTCTTTTATTCCTAGCAATGCATCTTTGAATTCACTATACTGACATATTCTCTACGACTCATGTCAAAATACATTGAGAGTCGCACATGGAAACTGCATCTTTAAATAATTTGAAAAATTCAAACTCAAGTAATAATGCAGAACTCAAAATTTTCTTTATGTTCTCAATGTTCATAAATTTTTTATGGAGGTCATAGATCAGCCACCCGAACACATGAAAAAACTCACTTACAGAAAAGGAGGAGAAAATGAATCGTTTGCGGACACATCAACTTAAAACCCACTGCCTTTGCGTGGACAGCAGCTCACGAATTGAGCTGTTGTCCACGCAAAGGCAGTGAAAAGCAGATTCACACCTACACTTGATGCCGGAGAACTCCCTGCCGCGCTACAAGTCTAACGCCACAACGCGGCTGCGTGTCACCCAGACGGTGAGAGAACGGGACGCGGAGAAGAAAAAACTTTAGAGGGGAATAACTTTCTTGGGACGTATTTTTTGACTTGTTGAGGTAGATTTTGACTGTGCTGAGGTGCGCTTTCAGAAAACTACAAGGATTGCCTAACTCTCCGGAAAGTACTTCTGTTAGAAGTGGAAAACCCAAAATTCTAAGAAGGCGCACCTTCAACTTTGAAGGCCCATAATATCTTTCGTATGCGACTTTTGGAAAGCTGTAAAAAGTTTCAGAAACTTCAAATATTTCTCTATCAAAACAGTATAAAAAGTTTAGTGATTGTCCCCTTTTTCAAAAAATTGTCCCGTTCGAACATTTTCGTGCGAGTTTTTGGGCTTTCAGCGGCCATAACTCACTTCATTTTCATTTCTGTGATGCACTTTTTCATGGGGTGAAAGTACAGGATTTGCTCTTTCTAACAAGCACCAAACCGTTTTTCAAAGTTCATTTTCCGAGAAAATCACACGTTCGAACATTTTCCCATAGGTTTTTGAGCAGCACATGCGAGTTTTTGAGCTTTCAGCAATAATAACTTCCTTCAAAAGCTTGTTGGGGAGGGGCGAAGACATTTTTGAAGACTACGAGATTTCTGCTTCCTTATGTGTCCCACAGTTCTCTGGAAGAAGCTTAGGTCCCTAAAGAACTTTATTTTCAGCCCCGAGAAGTCGCTTTTCATAGCAATGCATTCAGCTGTTCTTATTCTGTCGTGATTTGCCTAAAACTGTCTCTCTGTGCATAATAATCGAATCTAATGCGGTCTGCACAAGCAAGTCTTGCCCTCGGATACGCCACGCACGCGCCTGTAGTTCTCAAATGGAAGTCTATTTCATCTTTCTACGACCTGATGCTGGCACTACCACGCTCTGATCTTATTAAGCGAGTCTCCCTAAAAGCTTTGCTGAACACAGAAATGTTTTTTTACGATGTATAGAAATTCACGCGGAGAAACACTTCTGGACGAAACGGGCAAGCCGGGAAAGAGTAATTAAAGGCAAGATTCAGGATTGAATTATGAGGTAATTCCACTCAAATGTGAAAGTAGGGGTAGGTGGACCGCCAGTGGAGAAAAAGAAAAAAAATCGTGAAATGCACAGGAAATACGAGCCTTTTGCTCTACGCTGCGGAGAAGTTCAAAAGGCCGGCAGGGAGATGAGAGATAATGTGAGCGCGGAGAGCGCTAGAGAAGTCGAGTAGAGAGAGCATAGCAGATCAACATTGCGACGCAGACAAGATATCGAGCGGTGGGCGGAGCGTGTCGCAACAGGTGGAGCGTGTCAAAGTTCTTAGCGCCTAGCGTCTAAATAACGCTTTTCGAAGTAGGGAAGTGACGCGACCTCTACACTTGCGTACCTAGCGCTTCTAGCCACCGTAAAGGCTCATTAAGTGGGTCTGAGCCCGAACTTTGCCTTTAAATTGAGCTTACCCACCGATCTAACTACCGTCGCGATTTCGGTTGCGGGTCCTCAAAATTGCGACACTCCCTCCCTCGGCCCATGACCAAAATGCGACCCCCTCGTTCGAGTAGTGCGAACGGACGGTTGACTCTGGTTGCGACCCGCGCCCAAATCATCTAATTTTTTCGTGCATGCACGACTGTTCAGCTTTTTGTACATGCCTTATATAGAGCACACCTTAAAATAACTAAGAACGACTTGGCACAAAGATTTCTGATATGCTTCTAAATAGCGGTTTTTTTTAGCCTCAGAAATTTTCGGTCGTTTGTTCTTCGTTTTCCTCTTATTTTCACTGACGTATAAATGAAGAGTAGCAAAAGTGGATACAGAACGCTATAAAAGAGAGGATGCGTTTTGACAAGCGAGGCAGAAGAAAAACTTGATTTCTACAGTAGCAGTGGTGATACATATTGCTCTTTCAGTATTACATCAGCATTACACCTCGTTTTAGCCACTTCTCTACTTTGCTTCTTCAAGTCACATCCCTTAGCACCATAATCTTCAACTTTGACCATATAAATAGCGTATCCTTACCTCAGCAAACTTTTCGGGAAAGCACCCTACATGTATTCGTTGAGAAGAACACAAGTAAAACTACTACATACACTGCGTTGCAAAAATATAAATCCACCTGGAAAGTTCTTGAAAATTCGCATGATAGGGTGTTTCTGAAAAAGCCTTTGAAAGAAAAATGTGCTCAATATAAATATAATTTCGAGTGTAAACACCAACTTCCATTTCGAAAACACGAAAATTTTTTATTTTCATTTTTCAGAAAAGGGCCACTTTGCCGATTGTGCAAAAATATAAATCCACCCCATGTTTCTCGGTTGAACTTCATTGTTATTTGGCGTAACTGTCAGGTTGTTTCCACTTCCTCTTTCTTAGGTGATGACGGAAGTAACACCGCTGTCGGGCTCAGAAAAAAAGGCGAAATCTACAAAAGAGTGGGGAGATTTGCCATGCAGTCAAACCGCGCGTGATTTGAGCCCCGCTTATGTGGTTGTTGAGCATTTCGTCAAGAATCCTGCAGCATGTGGAATCCAGAAGAGCACTGAACCCTTTTCTTCGCGTTTCGGTTGCGATGACCGTAGTGTTATGGGAAAAGCAGCCGATTCTCCCAAGGGGTGCTCAGGAACTCAACCTTCAAAAAAACCTAATTTCTTGAAAGTCACCGTTTGGCGTGTGTTAGAAGAACTCTGAGACCACTCTTCGACGGAAAATGAGTATGGCACAGTTGAAGACACAAAGCCATCCCAAAAATCAAGCCAACTCTTCCATAATGTGTGCATGCTGCGCCAGCTGCATTAAGTTCGGCTTTCTACACGCTACTTTTTACTGTCTGTCTGAATTTCTCTCAGTTTTTTTTTCTGCAGTGTGTTTGGCAGAGACAGGAACTCATATTGAAAAAGGAAACCAGTAAGAAAAGTGAAGACAGCCATCAAAAGGTACTGCGCGGCCAATATGGCCTCGCTCCGGCCAGATCGACCACTGATCTTGGGAAACTTGGCTTGATTTTTGCGATGATTCCGGATTTTTAAATGTGTCCTACTCATTTTCCGTTGAACAGTGGTCTCAGAGTTCCTCTAACACACGCCAAACGGTGTCTTTCAAGAAATTAGGTTTTTTTGAAGGTTGAGTTCCTGAGCACCCCTTGGGAGAATCGGCTGCTTTTCCCATAACACTACGGTCATCGCAACTGAAACGCGAAGAAAAGGGTTCAGTGCTCTTCTGGATTCCACATGCTGCAGATTCTTGACGAAATGCTTAACAACCACGTTAACGGGGCTCAAATCACGCGCGATTTTGGCAAATCTCCCCACTCTTTTGCAGATTTTGCCTTTTTTTTCTGAGTCCGACAGCGGTGTTACTTCCGTCATCACCTAAGAAAGAGGAAGTGGAAACAACCTGACAGTTACGCCAAATAACAATGAAGTTCAACCGAGAAACATGGGGTGGATTTATATTTTTGCACAATCGGCAAAGTGGCCCTTTTCTGAAAAATGAAAATAAAAAATTTTCGTGTTTTCGAAATGGAAGTTGGTGTTTACACTCGAAATTATATTTATATTGAGCACATTTTTCTTTCAAAGGCTTTTTCAGAAACACCCTATCATGCGAATTTTCAAGAACTTTCCAGGTGGATTTATATTTTTGCAACGCAATGTCGTTCGGAAAGGGAATTTTGGAAGACTTGTGCGCGCTGCTTCTGGATTTCTCCCGAATGCTCTGGAATCTTCCATGGGTGGTATATAGTAGGAGCCAACTGTGCTGCGTACGGTGCTCAAATCAGCTTTTCCAATATGGCGTTTGCATCGCACGAAATCAATCCGCGAGGCCATCCAAGCACTCATCCTTTGCAAACTTCGCCTGGCGACATCGACCCACGAGAAGCGCTCAGAATCATCTCGTGATATGCTGAGGCACAAATCTTTCACAAGGCGGTTTCAAGATGGTTCAAATGCT